GCACCATATTGACGGCAGCATGCTTTGTTGCGTTTGGCTTCTGTAGGACACTGGCTCAGGCGATCGTCGTGCAAGCCTTGATGGGTGCCGTCAACGGCAATCAGGGCTTGGTATCTACTTGTCTGGGTGAAATCACTGATCGGAGTAACCAGTCCAAGGCCTTTGCCTACCTCCCTGTTCTCTATGGAATTGGTGGCATAACAGGTCCTCTAGTAGGCGGCTTGCTTGTCTTCCATCATAACCCATGGAATAGCAGCAAGCCCAATCCGTACCCATACCTCGCACCCAATCTAATGGCTGCAGCGGTTCTGGTGCTGGACTTTGTCTTGTCCATATTTTTTTTGGAAGAGAGTCTTGAAGACCCCGAAAGTCTTCCCAGGTTACAGCAGAGGGTCCGCGATTTCTTCTCCTGGCTGTGGCAGTTTACCAGTCTTGCGAAACGGGCGAGATATGTGCAACCACCACACCCTATCCCGTATCGCCCTTTTCGCCAGGATTCTGCAGAGGCAGCGGATCATGACAGCGACCTTGACTCGGCTTCAGAGGCTTCCAGTTATAATGGCCATCACCACGCAAGTTTGACTTCAAGCGAACTGTTCAACCGGGACACTCTCTTGCTCCTCTTAACGTATCTTGTTTTCTCCCTGTGCAACGTTGCCTACAATGCCCTCTTCCCGATCTTCTCGCAGGCTGCCCCACCCACTGGACGAGGGCTCACACCTTCAGAGATTGGTCTTGCGCAAGGATTTTCTGGTTTCGTAACGATCATCTTCCAGATCTGTATTTTTGGAAAGTTGAGAGATAAGATGGGCAATCGGTGGTCCTACCGCGCTGGTCTCTTTGGCTTTGTGGTCTCCTTCATCCTGATGCCCTTTATTGGCTACAAGGGTAACGATTCCGGAGGACTGTCTGGTAAAACCGCACTCCTAGCCGTTGAGCTATGCTTCGTGTTGCTGGTAAAGACAATCGCCACTGTTGGTGGATTAACCAGCGCATTGCTACTGGTAAGTCTACCCCTTACATACCCCTGCCATCCAACAACCGAATAATAACAGATTCAACCATAGATCACCAACTCCGCGCCTGACCGCGCAGTCTTGGGAGCCCTCAACGGCCTCGCCCAGACCCTATCTGCAGCCGGTCGAGCAGTCGGCCCGTTCGTGTCAGGCGGCCTGTTCAGCCTTTCATCGCGGATCGAGCCCAAAGGAGAAGCCTTAGCCTTCGGCGTTTTTGCTGGCATTTCATTTGTCGGATTTCTCCTGAGTTTCGGCATTCAAGGCCGGTCCCTTGAAGCTGATGACTGGGAGAGTGAGAGCGATCACTACAAATCTGACGACGAGGAACCAGACTCATAGGGGTCGGATCTTCGTTTTGTCGCCATCTAAATACTCCAGTTACGATTAACGAGCTTAGCACTGCTTTGTATGCGGGTCCTGTCTGTATATGTTTGATACATGATCTTTGTATCTTTTAGCTTTCTTTTCTTTCTTTTCTTTTTCTTTCTTTTTCTGACAAGCGGTAAGCGTTTGGATTTGGAAAGTGCAAGTGATTTTTCTTCCGGGAACCAGGCTTGGAATCATGGATGTTTGGTCTGTAATCTCACCAGAAGCAACTGAAACGAATCGGTAAATAGAGTTAGAATAGACAGCACTGACTTCGATGTCTGTGTGTTTTATTTTACACCAAGACCACCAGATAAGGCGGTACATTCAATCCTACAAATGGTATCCAGAGAGTAAATATTGGCTATGACAAGCTCAAAGGACAAAATGCTAGTCAAGACAGCAGTAGGTGATCGTTATTACAGGCCAACAAAAGAGAGACATTTCCATGACGTACAAAACAAAACCCCCGTATACAGAAACATATATATCATTCCCCACGTTAAACGCTTGAAAAGGGTCAACAAACAACCCCTCCGGCCCTTATTTCCATACCCACTCGACAACGTGCATAAACACCTCTCCCAGAAACCCGGTAAGAAGCAATCCCTGCGCGAACTCAATCAGTTCATCATCGGGTAACTCTAGCGCTCGGAACCGTTCTTTGTCGCCGCCCCCACCGCGCACACTGACTCGCCTCTCGATGATCGATTTGAGCATTTCTCTCCCCGGGGTGACGAGCACATAGCGGGCTTGGGGCTGGGACATTTCGGAGGGTACATAGACAATTGCTTCTTGTCTTTCTGGGGAGAGCCATCGGACACCCTTAAGGTCGGCCGTGGAGGAGGTTGACGACGGAGAGGTGGATCTACTGCTGGAGTCTCCTTGGTTGGAGGCTAGGAGGGGGTTATCGATGGTGGCGTATTGTATATCGCAGTCGAGAGAGAAGAGGATTACCGTGTTTGTGTCGGAGTTGAGCTTCATTCGGAAGGTTGTGAAGTTCCGGGGGTCGAGGTAGAAGGTGTAGCTGGCTGTTACGTTGACGGATTTGGTTTTGTCGACACGGCGGATTTTGGAGATGGCTTGGTCGCGTGCAGAGGTGGGACATTTGGCCTTTACGGCGAGGGACTTGGATTCCCGGAGGGAGACGGATGGGATGCAATAGGGGAAATGGGTTTGGAGGGCTTGTTTTTGGCAGATTTCATTGCAGAAGCGGAAGATTTTGCAGGCTGTGAGGGGGGAGGGGGCGTTAGTGGTGGTTAATTCTTGGGGGTGGAGGAGGGACTTGCTGTTACAGAGAACTTTCGTGGTAGTTCCGCAGTTCTCACATTGAGCTGGTTCATGTAGTGACCATGCCTTTCGTTCTTCGGCGAGAATGTCCCGTCGGCGGTTGAGGTCTGCGATTCGCCTATCCGCGTATCCAATTCTTTTCCGTGAGGGGTGATCCGCTGGTGTTCTATTGGCCATATGGATGAGCTGCTTGTATGCAAGAATCGCCTTGTCGATGGAGTCGAGATGCTCCCGAGAGACACATAGCGCACTGAGCGCATCAAAGGTCTCCGAGGCTTCAGGGCCTTTGATGGTCAGGAAGTCCTCAACTAGTGCTTCAAAAAGTTCTGCTGCGTCATGGTTGAGGCCATTATCCATGTATGATCTCCCTAGATGGTGAATGACTTTCAGGGAGTCTGGATCTCGGGATCGTTGGTAGTGGTCGAGAATGTCTTTGATATCAGTAGGAAAATCAAAATTGTTAGAATCTTGGAAATACCGGACAACTGCGTCTCTGGTAATAGGGCTGTTGATGCCGAAGAATGTTCTGCAGTGCGGAATGGCCTTGTTGCTTATTGCACGGGACTCCTTGCTCAAACGAAGTTTCTGATATAAGATAGATAAATGGTTCATCGCGTTCAATGTCGTCGCATGCTGGAGACCGAAGACGGTTTCGAGTGCTGGAACCACCTTCTCCAACAAGAGCAAGGCAGCTTCCAGGTCACCTAGTAAGACCTTCAGAGAAGCAAGATCCTGCATGCTACTCAGGGTCTCAGGCGCATTGTGCCCGAGCGTCTTCAATCGACCTGCGAATGAGCGTTCATATAATGCCGCTGCTTCTGTGGCGTATCCGTCTCTCTCGTATAGAGCCCCAAGGTCGTGCAGAACAGCAAAGTTCTTCGGGTTATCACGCCCAAGAGCCCGCTTATATAGTCCTAAGGCCTCCAGGCAACATGCTTCCGACTGGGCAGGCATGTCCAGGTTGCGATATGCCTGTCCCATTGAATGCAGAATGGTAGCTCGCGACAGTTTGTCAACATCGAGCGATGGAGCAGTTTCCAGCATTTTCAGGGCGTCATGATATTCCACTACAGCTGCTCGACAATTTGCTTGCCTCAAAGATGCCTCTGCTCGCAGCCGGGTCGTTAGAGCTTGTGACCAGACAGTAGCGGCTGCAAGCTCATCCCTCAACTGCGAAAATAGTCGTGCCGCCTCGTCCATTTGAAGTATTCTTTGACGTCCGGATGCATCGTGGACTACAATTCCCCCGGATACATACTGTACATGAATGTATATGTTTTGAGTTTCTCGCAGTAAGGCAACATATTCGGCATCTTGAAGGGGTGTTTGGTTTGCCTGTTGTCTGAATTCGGCTGCCTTTTCCACCTCCACCGAAGTCCGTACGCTTTCAAGCGTAGCTGCCCTACTTTCGCTCCTTGAGTATTTGTTGACAAAAGAGAATCGTATACTGTTTGCTTTTTTGATTAATTTATTGCGTCGGCCCGATGTCGAACGCGCGCGTGATATACCTGAGTTGCATGAGCGCTTAAGTTCTTATGGAGGGGTCTGTTACGTACCCTTGGAGACTTTCCGGCCAAGGATTTTCTCTAGGAAGGACTGTCTGCGAGGTGCCGTTTCGTTTTGACTGTCATCCAGCAGTGCACCATCCGAACCGTGCATATCATGCCTATGATGTCCATTCTCGCAGAGAGCTAGACCAGAGCTCTTCGATCCGTCTTCTGGTACTTCATTGATTGCTAGCCAGCGATCAGTTAGCCGGCCTATGTCCCGATGAGTACAGCTCATTTCAAGGTCATACCGCTCGAAGTGACACTCGTCACTGACTGACCGGGATGTTTCTCTGTCATGCCGCCTTCAAAGGGCTGATAGAGGCCGTTTGGAGCGTGCACTATATGGCACATCAGCAACATAAAGCACAAAGTTCAGGCGCCGAGTACAGACATACCACGTTCTAAGTCATACAAACCTGCAAAGCTGATTGCTACTAGCTCATCTTCGTCACTCTGTGAAAACTCTCCCTGAGGTCAGTGATGACCGCCGGCTGCTTGTAGAGAGGAGCATACTTCTGAGCGACCATGAGTCTCGTATCTTTTTGGCCTTCTTTGTGATCGACGGTTCATGAGGGTTTGCCGCTGCCGGGGACTTGACGCCCCGGGAGTTCATTTGAGCAATGCTAGGACTTCGGCTGTTGATAGGACTTGCAATGTCCCTCTGAATATCTCGGAAGCTTACGTCGTCCCGGGGATCGTTCAACAGAGGTTCATATCTATGGACCGTTAGGTCAGAACATTTTTGTGCATAAATGGTTATCACTGCCCAGTGAGTACTGACGAGATGTTGCACTTTTCTCCACAATGTCCGCACTGGACATACGATGGAACATCTGTAAACCTTGTTAATCACACATTCTGAATACAAGGGGCAGTATGCCCTACGTCGCTGTCTATCTAGAAGTTTACCGTCGTCGACGGCAAAATGTCTCTCGCAACTACCGCAGTAGAATCGAACTGGTCGAGAATCTAGTGGAATAAATCGCTTTTCCATACGGTAGCCCTTTGTGATTAAACTAGAACCAAGCAATTAGCAGAGGTGCGGAAAGCGACTGAATGACCCTACCGATCTCGTGTCATCACATATACAGCAACCGCAGTCCCAGGACAGTACTTGGTCAGGTAATGCTGCTTCAATTCCTTCCTATCAGCCGGTCAACCAAAAGCCATCTATCGTCCACAGGCGATGTAAACCCACTGGGAGGAAAAGACCGCATCACAGTCCGGGCATCGGATATCGACCGCCCCAAGAATAGCACCGTCGTCATCTCGGAACGGTGGATACAAACGAAGCACTTCCTGGAAGTTTTCAACGGCAACCGATGGTTCCTGCGTATCTAGTACTCCCATTCATGCTTGATTAGCTCCCCATAAAGTATCCCTCATGCATCGATATGTAGGTAACCGGGAAGCAGCATACCGCTCGTCGATCTGCCCGCTAAGGATAACAGAACATCGGAAGCTCGTAGGATACGCGTTTTTGACCCTAGCCTCGTCGTTTGTGATGCGTCACTCAAGACAATGTGCTTCTCCAGTTCTCGCCTCGTGTCGGATGGCAATTTATCATCAACAACCCTATCCCATCGGTATGGACCGTCAGTGGGCAATTGGTATGTATTCAGGGTGGGGAAAGCTCACCGATCTACGGTAGGTGACTCATAACGATCGTACTGCATGGCCATCATAATATAAAGGGGAGAAAGGGAGGGAGGCAGGGAAGAGAAGGCGAAAGGGAAAAAAAAAAAAAGTCAACAAGCAAGCCTGTACAAAAATGCAAGCACTCGAGGTTCACAGTCGTGAGGGTCGTCAAGCTCCAGAGACCGGGTGAGGCGTCATTTTCAATGAACTGTAGGATCTACCAGCGCGCATATGCGGGTCGATTTGGCGGATTTTCGACTTCTCCATGGGGGCAGCCATGGTCAACGGTTATGCCGCATCATTTCCCCTGTTTCAAGGTGGGAAATGGCAAAGTTTCGGGTTCTTTCATCCCTCGCATCCCAGCCGAACAAGAAGGGTTTGGGGGTCAATGTTAAATGACAAGGAACAGGTCCCCAGTCCAGATGAAATAATTGACTGATGCGATGGCGAACGTCGTCCGCGAACCCAACGGATGCGACAAGAACGTCTTGCAGGTAGATCGACCAGTAACAGTTTACCTTCATATTTTTCTTCTATCCTCGTTTCGCTCCCCTGCGCAATAAACAATGGGCCCCCTTGCGTCGAACTTGGTCAGAGAAGCGTCCATAGGGTTCTTCTGCTCACCGCAGGATCTCCGTGGGGTGTTGAACTGTCTGTCTTCATTTTGTGTTCTGCTCCTTTCCCCAGTGAAATTCATGATAACCTTTTCACATTGTAATCGGAACAATGGAATTGGCGTCTCACCTGTCATAACCTGGCAGGATATGGGTTCTTTGACTTTTCTCGCCGATGATCGCCACGCATACCCACCAACCAAGGTGACAGGTCACAAATGGCCACCCTTCCCGTTGACGGGATTCAATAATTGACATAGTTTAGCAATAGTTACATCGGAGAATTTTCTGGTCCCATTGCTCGGGTCATGGCTCTTGCAGTATTTGCAGAGGGCTGAGCACGACGCTGGCCAGCAGGCGAACTCGGAGATTGTTTTCGGGGGTTCTGGAAGGAAGCATTTTCCCTGAGGAGATCATGTAAATTTACTAGTCAGACCACGTGAAATTGCATGGAATGAATTACAACTGGAATGAATGAGATTCAAGAGATCAAAGAGAGAGCAATGAGTGCAATTGAACATTTCCCAATTGAAAACCTCAAGAAAGAATTGCCCATTCTGTTCTACTTCAATTAGGGCAAGTTCAATCCAATTAGCCTTTAGCCCTATTATCCTATAACATTCTAGTCAAGAAGTAACCCGTCAATCAAGGGTGTCAAATTGTCAATTACTGGCGGTAAATTCCGGATAATCCCCCAGAGGCCCAAGCCCAGTCCTCCTTCGTCTACAATACTTACGACGATTCGAGTAAGGGCAGGGAGTTAGTAGTAGTTCCCTCGGAAAAGAAAACAGAGCTTTGGTGGAGACGGACTCCCGATGACGAAATCCATACAGAGGAAGATAAACAAGGAAGCAACCAACACAGTACCTAAACCATAGAGTAACCCAGAAGAATGCTTGACGAATGCCAATGGCTCTGAATCCCCATGACTCATCATCTTTTGTATTTCCTCACGGCGAAAATATAAAAGAGAAAGAACAGTTCGATGTCAACGTGACGTTCCTCAGCCCTGCGACGTCATTTTGACGTGCGGGATCCATCACAAACATCCATTCAGAAGTTTTTCATTACTGTCACGCTATGAGTATAAGAAAGCTGAAGAATGGTTAATAGATTGTACATTATATATTAGTAAATACTCTTTTCCTGTATCTCGGTCCATCTTTCTTCTTTCATGCAAAGTAATGACTGTTTCTTGAACCATAGCCTGGATCCTCCGACTGTAATCTATCTATCTTTGACTATATCTATCGTCCCTACTCAATCATGGCTAATATCGTGGCTGGGGGCCTCCACAAGGTCCACGAAGCAGTGCAAGGCGCTGCTTCAAAGGATAAGAAGCTAGTGGACCTCGCACCCGACACCCACAATGTACAGTCCAGCAAAGAGCCACTCACCACCGATCATGGCGTGCGCATCAGCGATACGGACCACTGGCTGAAGGAGGTGAATGATAACCACACCGGACCTATGATGCTTGAGGACCAGATTGCACGAGAGAAGGTAGGATTCCCTAGATCGGTACCAACCAGAAGTTTGGTTTAGATTTGACTAACCGCAATCCAGATTCATCGCTTCGATCATGAGCGCATTCCCGAGAGAGTCGTCCATGCGCGTGGCACCGCTGCTTTCGGAAACTTCAAGCTCCACAAGAGTGCCGAAGATGTATCATACGCTGGTATCTTGACAGATACCTCACGGAACACTCCGGTTTTCCTTCGTTTCTCCACGGTCCAGGGCAGTAAAGGAAGTGCCGACACGGTCCGTGACGTTCGTGGGTTTGCCGTGAAATTCTACACCGACGAAGGAAACTGGGATCTGGTTGGAAACAACATCCCCGTTTTCTTTATCCAGGATGCGATCAAGTTCCCCGATTTCGGTACATATCTCTTCCCAGTTAAGGGAGTGTAAGACTCAAGAGCTAACAAATGTAGTCCATGCCGTCAAGCCCGAGCCGCATAACGAAGTGCCCCAGGCTCAAACTGCTCATAACAACTTCTGGGACTTTGTCTATCTTCATCCGGAAGCCACCCACATGTTCATGTGGGCCATGTCTGATCGGGCCATTCCTCGGTCATACCGTATGATGCAGGGTTTCGGAGTCAACACATTCAGTCTCATCAACAAGGAAGGAAAGCGTCATTTCGTTAAATTCCACTTCATCCCCCACTTGGGCGTACACTCCTTGGTGTGGGATGAGGCCCTGAAACTGGCAGGCCAGGACCCTGATTTCCATCGAAAGGATCTCATGGAGGCCATTGATAACGGCGCATACCCGAAATGGGACTTTGCTATCCAGGTCATCCCCGAGGAGAAACAGGATGACTTCGAGTTTGATATCTTCGACGCGACGAAGATCTGGCCTGAGGAACTCGTGCCCCTGCGCGTGATCGGCGAACTGGAACTGAACCGGAACGTCGATGAGTTCTTCCCTCAAACCGAACAAGTCGCATTCTGCACCAGCCACATCGTGCCCGGCATTGACTTCAGTGACGACCCGCTCCTCCAGGGTCGTAACTTCTCCTACTTCGACACCCAGATCAGTCGACTGGGCATCAACTGGGAAGAAATCCCCATTAACCGCCCCGTTTGCCCGGTCCTGAACCACAACCGGGACGGCGCGAAACGCCACCGCATCACCCAGGGCACCGTCAACTACTGGCCGAACCGGTTCGAGGCCGGACCACCAGCACCAGTAGAGCAAGGTGGCTTCGCGTCCTACCCCGCCAAACTGAACGGTATCAAGAAGCGCGGCCTGAGCCCCAAGTTCCGCGAGCACCACAACCAGGCTCAACTCTTCTACAACTCCCTCTCCGAGCACGAGAAGGTCCACGTTAAGAAGGCCTTTGGCTTCGAACTGGACCACTGTGATGACCCCGTCGTCTACGAGCGTCTCGCCGGCCACCGTCTCGCCGAGATCGATCTCACCCTTGCCCAGCAAGTCGCCGAGCTCGTCGGCGCCCCGATCCCAGACAAGGCGCTCCGCCCGAACCATGGAAAGCGCAGCAAGCACCTCTCGCAGACCGAGTTCCCGGGCAAGCAGCCGACGATCGCTAGTCGTAGGATCGCCATCATTATCGGCGACGGGTATGACCCCGTCGCTTTCAATGGCCTCAAGGGTGCGATCACGGCGGCTGGAGCCTTGCCATTCGTCATTGGCACCAAGCGGTCGCCTATTTACGCCGATGGGGAGGACAAGTCATCCTCCAAGGGCGTGATCGCCGACCACCAGTACGACGGCCAACGCTCGACAATGTTCGACGCTACCTTCATCCCTGGCGGTCCGCATGTCGAAAGACTCAAGACCAATGGCCAGATCCGGTACTGGATTATTGAGACATTTGGCCATCTCAAGGCTCTGGGCGCCACCGGTGAAGCGGCCGCTTTCATCAAGGAGGCTCTGGGCCCCACGCTTGACGTGAAGGTCGCTACGTCTGATAATCCCCAGCCTGTTGAGTGGTATGGTATTGTCACGGCTGGTAAGATCCAGAAGCCCGAGAGCATCAAGGAAGGTATCCAAATTGTCAAGGATGCAAAGGATTTCATCGGCACTTTCTTCTACCAGATCAGCCAGCATCGGAACTACAAGCGTGAACTGGATGGTCTCGCCTCCACGGTTGCATTCTAATTGCTTTTGTCTTTGAGGACATCGGGGGTTGTTTCAAGGGCAAAAGTGGCGTTATTAGTTTCATATCATCCTGTAATGAATTATGTCTCTTAATTGTGGATGGTCAGAATGTACGCTAATTAATATGAGTCATGAGAACACTCTATTCTAGTTGTCAAAGTGAAATAGTGTGGAAAGGTAGTTTATCAAAGTTACCCTGAGGTATCTAATATACAACATCTTTGGTATGTAGGAGAAAGTCACGTAAGAAAGGATCGTACATAGTGGGTATCATGGTCTGGTACAGCGTCAAGGCTCGGGCGGAAGCGATGTGTGTGTGAACAAATGTTTCATAATCAAAAAGGGCGCACGGCGCCTCTGCTTTCAAAACAGCGTTATATAGTTCGTTGTAAGTCATATGATCCGAAGGAAAGATAAAATCAAAATGAGTGTACAAGCGATATGCTTCGTCGTGTATCGTATATGAGTTTCAGGCCCATCTCCAGACAGAACTCATGGATTCTGGGCTAGCGATGACCGAAGATAAGAGACTGTTGCTGCGATATGCTCGCATAGAAACAACATTGTTGTTGCGTTGGTAATTCTGGTGCTCCCTGATAAGTAGAGATACTGCAGCATTCACGTTGATCCCTTCTCCGCTATCTGTGACTTTCAGCGCCCATTTGGCGTCTTGTTCTTGGAAACCCAGTTCGCGGACCATCATGTCGATAGCCTGATCTACAGGATCGCGGACCTGCGGTTGTGGGTGCGTGGCAAGCTGCGGCGGTCGGGACTTGACTGGATATTGGCTGGTCGGCGGACCACAATAAGCACCGTAAGAGGTCATCGTTGGCGGTGTAGGCATTGGCGGACGTTGCTCGTATGGGACACCTTCAAGGCGGCTCATAATAAATGAGTATTTCGAGATGGGGCGTTCGTCTGAAAACGAGTGGGGGCCTGCGTTCGGTGGCCGTCTCCGTTGGTTTCGTAACTGGTCAGCGTAGGCTGCCTGTCTCCGACGTTCATTCTCTAGTTGAATCTGGGTTGCTCTTGAATTGGCACTCGACGGGGTGCTGGTATCGCTAGAAGAAGATGAACCGTCCTCTGACGTTCGTGGAGACCATTGACACGGACTCTCACACCGTGACTTATATGCTTTCGAAACCGCTTCTTTGAGAAAGGACGAGCGGCTAACTCCAGACTCGGAATACTCCCACTTGGTCAAACCGATAGACTGGGCTCTTCTCAAGGTTGCGGCGCAACCTCCGGGGCCGACCGAGGCCATATTCAGAACTGCTGAAGGACCAAGTGTGAGGACATAGTATGTCCATTCCTCTATTCTATGTATTAGCCTGACTGGGAAGAGATGACAGAGGGCAAAGGGGTACTGACCTAACATAGCTGCCGCCCTAACATTGTCATGTTCCGTTACTTGATGACCGGCGAATATGCCTGCTTCACGTGCTTCTTTGCATCTGCCATGAATTGGCTGAAGCAGCACGCCCAAGCAGGTCCACATCTCAATCATATAGTACAGTTGATCGTTTGATAATCCGCCTTTGTTCCCATGCCCAAACCCTGTCGGAGGTTCGAACAGAATATCATACATGCCAAATGGCTCGGTAACCGACGCCGTAGCCCCGTGTTTGCGATCGCTCACAGCCATAGCACCCCCATTCAGCCAGTCCACCTGACCAACAACATCACCCTCTCGACTCTTCCCGCTACCAAAAATACGGCAAAACGTCCAGATTCTCCAAAGGGCATCATCAATCTCCTTAGCGCAGGCATCGTCCTTGCCTGCAAGACCGCGAATCGTCTCCTGACGCAGAAACGTCTCGCATCGAGTTAAAATGAGCAATTTGAGCTGAGCAAGCGTATAGATGTCTTGAGCATAGCGTTGAAGGTATAGAGAAGGGGTGTATTCTGGGACTGGGGTGTCGGGGTCCACTAGAATCTGCCATTCGGTACTCCATGGCGGGCTCATTTCGCGCAGCTCCCATGCAGGAGGGGACATTGTGAAGACAGCGCCTTTGATAAGATCTAATTCATGCTCTTTAAAAACACGATAGAACTGTCTAGAAACGACTGCAAGACGAAAAAGATCGTCAAGCGAGCAAACTTGGCGTAAAAAGGCAAGGACAACCTTGTCAGGGAGGTCCCCAGGCATGTGTAAGGTAGGCAGATAATCTGAGATCGTAGGCTTCCTTTGGGATTCCGGGGCGCCACCGTCGAGCTCATAGACCATCTCTGGGAGCTCCGCTATATCCATTTGGTGGGACACATTACTAGAGACGGAAACAGTTATCTTGCTAGAAGACACAAAAAATTTCTCCTTGAAGATAACCTGATCCGGTGATTGTTCGCGTCGTGAGGCCTCCACCTCGGGACGTTGAATGGCTTCCTTTTCTGTACTGGGCTCTACTTCCTGGATTGGTGAGCAGGCGGTTTTGGCCCCCTTTACCTGCAGCCGCGGAAGCTGCATGCGCAGCTCCCTTTCAATGGACTGGGATAGAGGCTCCAAGATCTGATTCGGATTTGGGAAGCTAGGCAGCCCCGCCATGTCATCTTTGCTCTTCCGTTTTTTGCAGTCGTTATCCTCCTGGACACGAACGGCTGAAGACCCCGCCTCCGATCTCATATTGGGGCTGCTCCACGACCGGGCATGTAGATGGCTGTATTTTCTACTAAAACCTGACAAGTGGAAATTGAAAGCCCCCTTGTTCTTCCTCATCTTTTCATCCTCACGTGCCTCGATTCTCCGCTTTTGTCGCAAATCGGTTGGAGGCTGTGGTGCTGGGCGCGAAGGAATCATCTCCATCTTGCCTCTGCTGATCTGCAGTGGCTCGTTGAGTAAATGTAAAGGGATCGTAGGTGAATCCGCTCTAAAGCCAGAGAGCGTGTTCTCCAAGTCCTGTGCCGCTACTGAGACCCTTGACCTCCCAGTCTGAGGGCCAGCAGATGTAGATGTACGGATTTTAGGTGGATCTTTATGACGGACGGAGAGCGGGGTCAGACGAATGGCAGGCTCAAGTGGAAGAGGCTTATTCCTCAGCTCGGCTGCAGAGAGCTTTTTTACTAAGGGGCGAGAAGGCGACCGCCGTATTGACGCCAGATCTTCAAAGACCCCTGCATCAGCGGGGGAGACTACCGAAAATGTATCAGCGCACTTTTTGGTAGTCCCCGGAGATCCAGAGTCCAGACTTGTTGCCGAGGATCTCCGACTGTAGCACGAGGAACCCTCCGGCGAGGATGATGAACAGGAACCAGCTTTCTGTCCTACATCGTCAGCGTGGGGCCTGGGATCACTGGAATGCTGTGTTTCGACGGATGACAAGGATAAGGACGTCGCTGGCGTCATGGTGCTTATCGGGGACACAAGTGAAAAATGCGATGATAGTTCGGGAAAAAAGCGAGCCCAGTGATTTCCTGACTTCCGATCCTGCCGTGAATCCGACACGGGTGAAATAGATCCATCTTCGCTCTCGAGGTCGTCTTCTGCATCAAACCAACATACATTATTCGCATAATCACTTGTTAGAGCGTCGCGTTTTGCTACCATCGGTGGCTTGTGCGACACTGGGGCAGACGAGGAAAGTCCACCTTGCGAGCTTAGTATACCCATCCTGTGAAGGTCTATGAGTAGTCGGATAGAGGCTGTATAGGTGTAAGTCGTGTTTTTTTCCTCCTTAAAACGACTTGGCGTGTCTGATGCTCCCGTGGTGATGGTAGGATCAGACAAACCAGAGTCCCGGGTCTTTTCCCACCCAGTACATTGGTCTTCGTTTGGCGCTTGGAAATCGTCTTTGTTGCTCTAGATAATGCCAGTCTTACCAATCGCAATTCTGCCAACGTTGCAAAAAGTGGCGAGGCCAATCTGTGGCCAGCCCGGGTCAAAGGAATTCCCCTTCTATGTCCAGCCACCTGAAGTCGATATTGCAAAACGTCCAGGGTCCCAGAAAGGGATGAAGATGGACGGAGATAAATGCAATGCAGGTAATCACACGCGCACTAGTTCTTTGTCAGGGCTTCAATGGCTAATTGACCTTGAAGAACCTTGTGACAGACGCAGACAAAGACCACCGGAGATCAACTGCTGGGATTGGTTCGCACGATCCTGGTCGTGGAAGCGTCGGTTGCTCAGGAGTAGATCCAACGAACCAGTGAGCTCGTGGGGGGAGGAACGGACAAAATTTGACCCTAGGGTGGGAGTTACGAATACTTTGGGGGAAGGATGGGAACGATGAGGTGATGCGAACTTATATCGAATGTCACACTATAGCGTCTTATCGCCTGGGTCTGGGTCGAACTGTGCCCCATGGCCCACAATTGCAATAGGTTTGAAATTTCTCTGAGAATGCAGTTCAACTGTCTCGCTGCAGAGAGGGACATGATGTGATCTAATTATGGGGGTACCTGGAATGACACTTGAGCCACTGGGCTGACGCCCATGTACATTTTGGGGAATGTGAATGGGGAGGGACTAAATTGGGTTCCACTTGGGCTAATGCACGGAGAGATTTTAGTCTTTTTTCCCTTCGGGGGGTCACGAGTGACACACACCCACGAGCGGGTTACAGTACATACTTTACTTACATAAATACAGTCAGTCTACGTAACTATCGTACCAGATCTATTTCCAGTCTCACTCCAAGTCCTCGAGGTCTGAGTTTATCCTTCGTGCCCCCCCCCTCTTGGTAAACCCAAAGAAAAGATTATAAAAGAAGACATTAATTTTCTTTCTTTGTTGATAAACTTAGCAACCTTTGCCATAATATCTACTTCAAAGGTTATGAGCAATCGCTTCTAATTCCTAACCCCCTTCCCCCCTCTCCTTCTCTTACCATGAGGGGAAGTTACATGGAAATGGATCGGCATACCAGTTCGTATCAAAAAAGAGCAGTGCTAAATCAAGATACAGAGTAAGTTTGCCTTGGGTAGGTTGTTGATCCTCTCGCCGGGGCTGTGCCACGCCAACCACCATCCAGTTTTCTTCACACTTCCCAGGAAAATGTCTTATCATTCATGCAATAGCAATTAATTTATTCATATAATGTTTCTGTTAATAGTAATTTTACTTTTCTTCCCCCCCTCCTCTTGTTTTTCTAAATTATCAGTAATGTGTGCAATTTTTAAGAGTATTGATCATTTATGACCATGTTTTACTCCTGCTGACCCAAATGCCAGTGACCTTTACTCCAGCCTCCAATAATCTTTTGAATCTCATGCAAGGGAACAACGTTCTTTTTCGTTTACTGGATTTTCCCCCAAAAGGCAACTCGTTTGTTTGTTTCTTATATTTATGTTAATTTTAATTTTATTCTATTTTTTTTTTTCTTTCTTTTCTCTCTCTCTCCCCCTTTTCTTTGTCATGAGCCTCTAGGGTGAAAGTAGCGTAACCACGTCCAGAATACAGAATAGCGGTCATCTGTAAATTTGACCGGGGTCTTTCCTCTGTCCCTTTCTCATGCAGCTTACGCTGGGAACTCGCGTCCAATATTCACTGCCCTAGGCCATTCATGGTGTACAGTAATTAAACATTTTATTGCACTACTTTAGACGACGACTATTGAGTGTCAACCTCTTGGCCATTTGCGACTTCCCGCTCAATCTGCTTTCACCCAGTCCACAACACATCATTTGAGTTAGGGTTTGTGGGCAAGCCCCAAGCCTCTCAACACATCTGATAGCAAATCAGTAGAATGTGGATAATGATCAGCCCGGCTCGTTCTTTGTTTTACGCCTTGTCCACCCGTTCCATTCCAACCCGCAATTTCTAATTTTCCCGAGTAATGTTCGGAGCCATTGCTGATTTGCTTACTCAATACGGAGTACGGAACTTGTAACTACGAACTATATGGACCTCTATCTATCCATCAACGGGAGCAGTGCCTCGTAGGCTGACTCGGGAGTTATGTCCCGCTCCGGTATGTTTGTTCACATATCAAGTTGTACGGCAGCGCCATTGATGATGGTACATGTCAGGGCCCGCTCAATCGAGGCTGTTTCATGTGGGGTGAGATAATTCATGATCCTCACCGTCCGAACTATCTTTGTTGGTTGGAAGTTAAGTTTCTCTCCAGAGACATGTCTTTCTTCCCCTGTCTGACTGGCTCACTTGTAATGAGATACTAGTGCTTGGGGCGAAGAAAACGTGGCATTTTCGCTCAAACTAGTCGATTCTGTTTCATTTCGTCGCTATTCATCATGATCATCATCATCATCATCAACCCCGCTCGGCCCCTTTGACACTCTTACGTCTTTCCTGCCCCAGTTCTTTAGTCTCGACTGGGTTCCACCAACACATTTATTATCTGGTCATCCCAGCCATTTTTCAATAGTAGATACCCCTTCGCCTAAGGACTAGTATATTCGGATCCAATACCTAATGCGTCGGATCTCAGGGCAAAGCGCCCCAGCGTCGTCGCCCAATTATTACCCGGACATCAAGCTCAAGTAAACAGCCCAGACGACACCGAATATACTACCAACCAGCAGTCTCTTATCGGCTGGGACAACAGTAAAATTCAGGATGGAGACCAATGGCCATAGCTTGAATCCCGCGATCAGGAGGGGCCAGAAATCCTATTCAACCAGCGTAAGTCAGCAAGCAATGTCCCAATCCAGCCATGAGTGATTTCGGAATTTACGGACATTGCGAATCTGGTCTACCAGAACATCATATTCCTGCCCGCGCAACAGCCCCATGGTCAGACTGAAAAGGACGGTAGCCCAGGCGCCACCGACGACCTGGTCGATCACGATCTTTGCCACCGTGTTCTTCACATTTAACTTCTTTTGTTTGGGCTGGTCCGCCTTTTCGGTCTTTGACTTGGTGGCGGTAGGCTCCTCGCTAGTCTGGCCTGGAAGTGCCGATTCCAGACCCTCCAACCATAAGAAGGTCATGGGGGACATCACAAAGGCACATGTTGTGAATTGAAACAGCGTTTGCAGATCCAGTTCGAACGGTTTCTATGGAGGTGTTTGAAGCTATCCGGCGCCCATCATGGAGAGAGTGCTGATGCATAATCATTCAATGCATATAACTCCGACCATGGCGCCGATTAGCGAATCAACCCGTCAGCCCAATTTAATTTTTTAATTTTTTTTTTTTCCTTACTAGCAGCATGCATGAATTAATCAGTGAGGTTGGGGGCCAATTTGCGAAGGTGTGCCTTCGTACACACTGTCCCCCGCCCCCATGTTACATGCATGCATCCATCAATCATGGATACTACTACTTACCTCATCTCTATATGACTGAATGCTCTGTGCCAGTATATTTGACCCGGCATTGATCAGTGCAGCTTGTAGAGTGGCCTTCGCGATGGGAGGGAGCGCCATCATGACAGACGTTCAGTGACAAGTCCACGTCCCAAAAGTCAACTAACCTGCCTGCCTTGTAAATACGAAAGGTTAGCCGGATTCCCACTCGTAAACTCCGCCATGATCGATCATCGCCGTTAATCCTCAAGCGAACGTACGCTAAATACGAATTGCCGAAACGGGTGCAGAACACAGCCTTACCCTTGTTTGGCGATCTGATTGGCTCGATAACGTCAACAACAGAAACCTGGATGTTTGGGCCCAGGAAACTCGAAATGCAAAAGAAAAACAAAGCGGAAGTACGTATTGATTTTGATATTTTTTTGACTGCCAATTCTGCAGAGGCGACCCCCCGAAGATATTTAAGAATACGAGGGTCCGCCCTGTGCGGTCCGACGCGCTGGGGGAGGTATGTGGAGTTGAGGCGTTGATCGATTTAACGGTGCAATTGTCAGAGAGAGAGAAAGAGGAAGGTTTACACGCTCGGTCAATATGATTCGAGGGTGAATCCGACCGGTACGATCCACCGAGGGTTTTTCTCGAGAGCCTGCTTCCTTTCTGTCAATTCGGTAAGAATGTGAAGGCAAGATGTGAATCTGAGACGACTGGGAATTATTAATTAATGAGCTAGGTATGTATTGACCAGATTGCAACAACGGTGCCAAGATTCCACCGACACGTTCGGTAAGTACGCTATACGTTCTATCCAGGCTGATAGGGAAAACCAATCAACCAGAACAGAAGAAAAACTCAAACGATCTGCGTGGTTACCATGCGAGATCTTTTCCTATGAGCTCGCTCTTACAGTCGAGTTCCTTGCAGACTGCCAGAATAATCAGCACCCTCGGAACGCACGCTTAGACGAGTGAGAGAGTACTCACGTTGTTCGGCTTGCTGAAACCTGGAATTCTCCCTTGGCTTTCTCATCGCTGGAAACACTTCGACCCCCTGCGCTTTTTCCAGCTTGATATGAGCTTCGAGGCAGTCGAGAATATTCTTCTGAAATTCTACTCAGGCGGAACGGTCTCAGCGCTCATGGAGAACACAACAACCTCATGGAAGAAGAACAGGAGAGAATATTACCTATCTCTTCACTGTGAAGGCTTGGGGGCGCAGATACGAATGACCTTCAGACCCGGTCAGTAGTCAGTTCGTGTTTGATGCTAACGCTTTATTCCAACACGTACTCTTGGTACTCTGTTTCTAGTTCCCGGGCTTTCTCCTCCAAAAGTTCAGCCAATTTATCCGCAACTACCCGTGAACGAGAACTATCAATCTTCGAGCAGTACAGGTCGTATCGGATTGCCGTCTTCTGTTCAGATACTGGTAAGAAGCTCAGCGCACACCACCATCCAGTCCTCTTCATTGAGTAGAAGGAGGTAAAGGGGAAGAGCGAAAAGTGCTCTGATTTCGCCCGAACATAGTCCAAAATACTGGTCACTTGGGGTATATTGCTCTGCTGCTCAATCTCATTCTCTAGTCTGAGGATGTCGATCAATTGCTGCTGCCTGACTGCTAGGGAGTGAGACACCAAACCAAATAGAAGGAGCAGTCAATCAACTCACAGGTCATTTTCCAATTGAGATCTACCTTGATGGTTTGCCCTGCTACCCATATGGACTGAGAGTCCAGTCTATTGTTGCTCGCAAAGGCGTCCAAAAGGCTTGTGTCGGCCGACGGGGTTCTTGGGCTAGCCTCAAGGTTAATGAATACAAACCCCAGTCCGTTCGTAACCGTATGAATGGCGAAGAGGCTGTTCTGTGATCTGTCAAAGCCTGGAATATCATCGAAATGAGGAGCCTTGGTAAGCTCGCCGTAGGTGTTATAACTCCAGCCATGATATCGACAACCAAGCACTGCAGAGGATCCACATTCTTTCTTCGTGACGGTGTACGCTCTATGACGACAGACGTTGTGGAAAGCTCTCACCTTCCCGTCTTTTCCTAAGATCAGGAAAATGGGAAACCCAGCCACCTCGTAGGACTGGTAGTCACCCACCTTCGCAAAGCGATTGCGATGAGAGAGACACAGCCAGGTCTAACTGTTAGATTAGATAGAACATCCTTCAATGCAGTGGTTTAATGATATATTGAACTTGCCTTACTAAAGATTGCACGCTTTTCGAGCTCGAAAACATCCTTGCTCACCCACCAGCCTGCTGGGAAATCTGATTCTTTGGAGACTCCACGATTCTCATCTTCTGTGACATCTGGAGTTGGACCAAGGGTCACAGATTTCTCAGGATTCAATAGCTTAGGGGCTGGAGTTGAACTATGTGGCCAGAACCGATATAGGAAAGCAATCCCAGCTAGAAGTGCAAGCAATGTGGGTGCTGTCGGGAAGATGAAGGCTTCCATGATGATTCCCGTGTTAAGTTTCTGTAAGCCTTCCGAAAGAATATCTGTCCCCAGGTCTTCCGGAAACTGGGGGATATCTATAAAAGGGCTCGCTCGAGCACAGGCGAGACTTACAGGATTCAGGGCTCGACGATCTTTGGCTTTCACCTCCGCATATGCCTGCATATCTATTATCACATCCTCCGAGGTTAGCCAGCAAATCGTGTTGACCGCTCATAAGTTTGCCAGATTAGGATGAATTTTCCAGGCGTACTTGAAGTAACAGGTTCACTGAATGCTACATATGATCTCAGTTAATGTATGGATTTCTGTTTCTGAACGTTGAAGGTTACATGGCATTTCAAACTTTCCGGTTTCAATTAAGTATAACTACCAATAGATTCTACCGTAGAGCTTTGGCTTTAACAACAAGGGATAATCCAGGTTATCATAAGCACACGATTACCAGAACGAGCCCCGCCTGCAGCTTGCTATTCTCATGCGGCGGCCGGGATTCCCTCCAATCCCTTGCCTTGTTCTTCTGTCACCGCAGTGACACTCTCCTCCGCTAACTGATCTGCAGCATGTTGCTGGCACACCAACTCAAACACTCGGTCTTGGTAGACTGGCAGGCATTAGCGGCGGGGTTAGAAGCTTCGAAATCTGTCGTACTCACAGGAAACACCATTCTCTTTCTCAGGATTCAGAATCCCTTCACTATACACCCCCCTCCCAAGGTTGTCCTGTGCCTTCTCGCAGAGCTCATAGTCCTCCATGGCCACCTGACGGACGAACTTGAAGTACTCTTCGAACTTCTCGCCGGATTCCATGTGGTAGTAGTCGAATTCCATTCGGGTGATATTTGGGTCTTCTGTTGGGCAAACCCGGAACGAAGACATCCCTCCACCGTACACGTTCAATGTACAGTTCGGGAAGAAATAGAGAAACAGCCCATCATCTGGCTTATTAGGATCTGCAATGTGTTGCGAAAAGTTATGGTGATTGTGAACGGTGTAGAAGGTCGGCGGATAGTAAACGGAAAACGATGGATGAGTGTATTGGCAATGAAGGCATTCTTGATATCCGTCGACCCTGTGATTTACAATATAAGCAGAGATCCACTCAATATGTACTATCAGGGTTAGTACATAGTCTTCCAGTTGAATCGTCCTTCATATTTGATACTGTGCCTGTAGGGTAGTGTGGTAAAATCTACTCTCTCCAACAATGGCTCCAGGTCTGGGAAATACTCATGAAAGCTAGGCGCTTCATCTGAGAGGGTCGTGAAGATGAGGCCGGTTGGAGTGATATGGTACCGCAGCGGGTTCTCCTGTTTTTGTCAAACTGGCACATTCCATAAGATGTTACGGACACCTCCTGAAATTTCCTGTCTACTTTCGTAGGTGTGCATATAAAAAGCAAGGGTCACAAGACGTACTGTTTTCGCAGAGATTACATGGAACTCGCCTGGTTCAGGTAAAGAAGAACTGCGGGAGGCTCTAAAAGCCAAGATTGGCTGTTGTGCAATCTCATACTCGATCTTTTCCCCGACTTTCTGGAACTTCGTCACAGGTCCAAGGAGATACCAAGACTAAGTCTATTAGCCACTTTTAAACATCACCTGTCCAAGGTCGACTGGCATACCTTCATGAAAACAGCTCTTCGCTCCAGTTGGTAGAGCGGAAGGCTGCAGTACCAGGAAGCTGGCAGCGTGCGTGCAAGTTCGGTCATTTTGCACAGTTTCGATGTTAGTGCATGTAATAAGAACAGCCGTCCTTGTAAAGTGGGAGCCGTAGTTATCCGTTACCTTATATATTCTTCTATTGTGTCAGTGTGACTTATCGGTCTACACCGAAGTACAGCACTTTGCTACTCAATTGGACAGGCGTATCGTTTCCTGAACGGGCTATGGGATCCGGATAGGGTCCCGCGGCCGTGGTTTCATTGTGTGTCGGACTCCTACAAGTATACGGCTTGATCGGGACCTTACAAGTCTCCAAGAGGTGGCTAACTCCAAGATACATTCCCTTTAATTCCTATTATGTATATAATTCTCCAACAGTATATTTGACTCAGGTCGTAGTCGAGTACCGCTGTCCGCGTTGATGAGCAGGTCTCTAGGTCACTGTATAAGATGGGCTGGTGTTCGAAGCTATGATATGTACCAACACCACCGAATACCATATGAACTAGCCGGTGAGAACTGAGCCGATATCTCTACTACACAGCATTGAAGCAATGGTAATGTGTTACTAATCTGGAATCGTCATCAATACCTACTCAGTAAAAGTCACCTGGTAACTTGGTGGGGTTTGATCCTTACCTAATAGTTTGGTGAGTGACCAGTGATGAATGATTTGACCAGACGATCTGTCTGTAACATCGGACCTACGAGGTACCTCCCTTTTGAGTGCTGGCGACACTCGTATACCTGCATGTACTTTTGAACCCGGAATGATGGGAACTCAATGCCTATCGATATGATTGGTACAAGTGCAACCCGTTTATCCTCCGAGCTTTGGGTATGAATAGAAAGTATCGACCATATCTTATAAGCTGCATAAGCGGAGAAGCTATCTATCAAGCATGTTCATAGTCTAGCTCGCGTGTAAAGCTTGAGTGATCATCTGTTTCTTTTGACGAGTGAGATAGCCAAATTCCCATCTATTTCTACACGACTACACGAACCGCAACTTTCGTCCCAATGCGCGCATCACATTGACCTACATAAGTATCGGACGCAAAACGCGAGTACTCATTCATTCGGACAATTGAGAACCCGTGTCTCCCTGATATTATAAGCCGAGTAACTTAGTAGCTTAGGGAAACCAGACCCGGGCCGAATGAGTAGAACCAAGAGCTGGTTCGGGTTACGGGATGAAGGGTTCAACCTGTGGGGCAGTGGACTCGGGGTGTTCTCCAACTTGATTTCGGGTTGCCGACTGGGTCATCTTGTACGTACTATTCTGGGTTTCCAGAAGTCTATGGTATGAACAAGGTCTAGTTCATCCCACCCATGATCCTAGTACCTTTAACCAGTGGTCAAGAGCCAACGATAGCCTGATACTCCCAACACCGTATCCTGAGTTCGTGCGACGTATCTCTTTCTCCTCGGGTCTTTCAAGACCAGACAAAAAGGAGGATTAATATTCTTCCAGAGTCGGGGATTTTTAGCCAGGCAGCAGTCATTTTGATTGTGGCGATGCTGACCGTTATAGATTAGTATAAATATTTTATCTACGGAATGAGCCACATACTGTACCTTGTTTTTTATCCTACTGAACATCTACTTTTTTTTTTCTTTACAGCAGGAGAAGAAGGGAAAAAGAAAGAGAAATTATACTCCTAAGCAGTGAGTAGATCTTGACATATAACACAAAAATCATTGGCAGTTTCATGGGTGGAGATTTAATCACATGCAGCCGTGATCAGGTGGATCTCCATTGGTTTCGTGACGTTTGCGCCTTTCTTCATTTCTCCCCGCAATTCACCTACCAAATGGGGGATTGTCCATACAACAAATAACTACTCAAATCACGGAGAAGTATGAACTGCCCTTCCTGAGTCATTCAAACAAATATATCATCTATCCGTGGTCTTGATATAAAGACGCAACGAGAAAAATGGCACGCAAGGGAGTTCAGTACACTCCGCCACCTTCGCCGCCGTCGCCCACGGCTTCTTACTACGACGTCAGCGACGACGAGGAGGACGATTATAACACCATCTCACACGCAACAACTGGGAGAGGAGTCAAATTGCTCTTTTCAAAAAGCAAGGTTAGACGACTGACAAGAGTTCTACTCAATATCAATCAATCACTGACGGTTCCGAACTATACCGAGCATTGCAGGTCTATGTTCACCCCACCCCTTCCTCCAAGGATAATATCCCCGGGTTCATCGCCCTCATTCAACAAAAGCCGGCTCATGGTGCTTCGAATGCGATCGCGTCGGCCAACGCTTCAAGAAAGACCGAGCTATCATCATACCTCCTTGCCTGGGTTCCGGAATCCTCGCTAGGTGACGCCTATAACACCTATGTCAAAGTCGATCTTGCGGGCGACTCCTCCCCCCCGCGACAGAGATATTTGGTACCCCCTCTGCCGACAACTACTACCTATAAAGACCCAATAGGGCTCTATGCCTTTGCCGTACCACTCTCGGAGATCTACTCATTGCTTGTGCGACCTCCGAGCATCGGATGGTGGTTTGGAAGCCTTGTGATCAATACGCGTGCAGGTGATAGCTTTCCTGCCCTGTTTTTCCATGATAGCGAATGCGAATCGACCATCCTACAAAAAAGGAAGAGGACTCAGGAATCGTTTGATCCCTTCGGCGAGGATGGCAGTCTGTTCTGGGGTGGCGACGAGGTCCTAAGGTGGCTTCGGAAGTATGTGGAGGTGCAGCGCTCAGCCGTTGACAATAGCATATATTTGATCAACCCATCCGAAGAAGATCGCATATCATTTGGGCGGCCGTTGACGGCCGATGGAACAGTAACCAGAGCCCAGGACCAACCCTCTGGGTCATCCGCGCAAGGTAGCAGCGGACAGCGGGATGCGGGAATGGATCCTTTTATGAAAGCTATTAAGGAGACTAGGTGGAAGGTGCTTGAGCAGCTGAGCAAGATCACGACCTTTACAAGGCGGACAGCGAATGAGATAGCCGAAAACCCGCGAATTCCTCCGCAAGTCCGTCGGCTGATGAAGACACCGGAGATTCAAACCTTACAAGATGAGTTTGATAGTGCCAGGCTATATCTTGCTCGATGGGCTATGAGCATATCTGAACAGAGCGAACGCGAGAGGAACCAGCGGATATGGACTGCACGGGATGTCCTGGAGATGGAAAACAGCTCCGTGGGTGATTTCGAGATTCTCGAGCTCGAAACGGGAACCATGTCCATCCACGAACGGCGCAAGACAGTGACTTTAACTGAATGGGAGGCGTTCTTTGACCCGACCACGGGCAGATTGCAGGTTACTGTTGAAGAGGTAAAAGAGAGAATATTCCATGGGGGTCTCGATCCGAACGACGGCGTCAGAAAGTTAGCCTGGCTTTTCCTTCTCGGCGTATATCCATGGGACAGCTCCCGTGACGAGCGTCAAGCCTTGATGAATTCTAAACGGGATGAGTACATTCGGTTAAAGGGTGCCTGGTGGGAAACGATGGTCGAAGGACATT